CTATTTTTACAGCTGTAGATCACGGGGTAAGCAAAAAAAAAACTTGTTTTTGCTTTAAAATAAGAATATTTTGCTTAACCTGTTGGTAGATTATTTCGCTTGTTTTAAAGGTGCAGTATAGAAATTTGACACCCAGTGGTTGAACTAGGTATTGCATGCCTGATTCAAAACACAAGCGAAAGGAGTATTAAAAGGAGTTCTCGTCCTAACCAACACCTGAAATTTATATTTTAGAAATAAGCTTTTATTTCTCACAGCTGAACAACAGAAAACTGACAATGATCACCTCAGGTACACCTCATGTGCTTTATTCAGTGTTAAATGCTAATAATGTGAGTTTGAAATCCATTTCACATGACATTTATTGGCATAATACTGAAAGCAGCAGCAGATAGTTCACCTCAGATCTTGAAAATAAAATAAACCATTTTAAATGAAACGTTAGAAGTGCAAGCCAACACATATCAGTGAATCATCATCCACATGTAATAATGTTAAATAGGTTTAATATGTATTAATTAGATTATAAACCTTACCATTTTGTTGGAGTGCAGTGAGTGCACTATTCTGTGCTTCTGAATGGCTGTATTTACATTTCTGTCATGTTTTCTCTGGTGCAAACAGCCAAATTACTCATCACTGCAAATCTCATGTAGCATGTTGTTTGGACACGGGGTTACAATATAACCTGCTCACCTAATGTTTACCTTTTTAATATGTTTAATTAGTTAGGCTAATTAATAACCATATGTCGAACTCTGAATGAGTGTCTCATTTCGGAATCTGCTACTGTCTACTGGAGGTCACCTTTTCAGTCACGGATGCATATTTTGGGAGCCTTACTGAGAGAATGAATCACACCAAGGCAACCCTGGTGCTGAAATACAATTGGCTAAACTGGCAGTGGGGTGGGTTAAAGACAAAGACAGATGTTCCGGCACGTAACGCACATTTTCAAAGCAGAATATCTGACTTCAGCATTGTTTTTCAGATAAACAAGAATGTTCACTTGGCATGTTTCTTAATTATCTGCAAACATATTATGGTATTTTAATGCTTTAAAAGAGACAAAAGCTAGCATATACAGCACCTTTAAATAAAATAGGCATGCAAGAGAAACTGAGGGACTAAAGTGATGTGATGTGTTATTGTGCAGTGAAAGTGAAGAGAGCTGCCACTGTCAGTCATTCTCCAGCTTTGACGCTCCTCTGATAAACAGAGTAATGGCAGAGGACGGATCCTCTTGTCTGTCTGCTCACTCATTCACTGCGGAGAGATAACTGTCTGAAGCCTTTTCTGGTGGTCTAGGTGTTTGAGGAATAATTCCTGCATGCCTAAGCGTGTTTTAAAGTCTGCATGAACCCGAAGCTGCAACCATTTCTTATTATTATTTTTTTTGTATTGTGATGCAGCTCCTGGAGAAATGGAATATTAAACAAGAAAATGGTGGGTGTGGCTTGTTTTTTCTGCTGCAAGCTGATTGGATGTAGTAAAGTAGGTGTTTCATTCAGAAAGATGGGGAGAATGGTTTGGGGGGAGTGATTACAACCTAACAGACTCCTCCTACTCACCATTTCTGTTTATTGTCCAAATTGACAGCTGGAGGGGCGTGGTTAAGTATGTTAGCCACGCCCAATACCTCAAACAGGAAGTGCATTTACAGATTTTAATTTCAAATTACAAGGGCAAACATTTTGTGTTTTCTTAATGACATGCACAGATGAATTGTTCACCACAAAACTAGCGATGTGAGCAAACAAAATCATATGGCCAGGACACACTAAGCCGACAGTCAAGAAGGAATACAAAGGCTGTAATTTCGATGCATTTCTCAAATATTTGCAGACAATATGGATTATTAGGTTATCAGACCTTTTTGCACGAGCAAAACCCTATGTGATGAGTGACAATTACTGTGGTACTGTGGTACTAAACGAGAAAACTTTGCATTGACATCATGAATTGACATCATGTGGCATTACATGATGTACCATGTACCATTAGTACCATGACCACAGTAATTGTCACTCATCACATAGGGTTTTCCTCATGTTTCCACTTTGTCTGTGCGTATTTCATCTTCCAGGTTTTCCTTTGTGGAACGAGAAAACCAAATACTAAATAATGTGGCAGATATTTGGTGGCAGGGCTTTTAGCTGCATAGCACCACAGTTATGGAATTCCCTGCTGTTCGATATTCGTCAGGTGGACTCTATCTCCAATTTTAAATCCCAGGTTAAAACCTTTCTGTTCCGGATTGCTTTTAATGATTTTCTGGATTAATATTATGTTTTATTACTCTTCCGTCTTGTTTTTATAATATGCCTGTGACATATTGTAAGGTGTCCTTGAGTGCTTTGAAAGGCACCTATAAATAAAAGGTATTATTATTATTATTATTATAAATATTATATTTAATTTTCATTTAGTTACTCTCATGCATTGTTCATTTAGTTTTTGTCAACTAAATTTAGCCGCACTTTATTATAAGGTACCATTCTTGCTATAAACAAACCATTAACTATGACTTTTGTCTCAATAAAGTCCTAATTTGCTACTTATCAATGGTTATTACATTAGAAGTAGGATAAGGCATATACAGTTGAAGTCAGAATTATAAGCCCCCCCGAATCATTAGCCCCGTTTATTTTTTTCCCTAATTTCTGTTTAATGGAGAGCAGATTTATTCAACACATTTCTAAACGTAATAGTTTTATTAACTCATTTCTAATAACTGATTTAATTTATCTTTGCCATGATGACAGTAAATAATATTTCATTAGATATTTTTCAAGACACTTCTATACAGCTTAAAGTCACATTTCAAGGCTTAACTAGGTTAATTAGGTTAACTAGGCAGGGTAAATATGCAAGTTATTGTATAACAGTGGTTTGTTCTGTAGACTACTGAAAAAAATAGCTTAAAGTGGGCTAATAATATTGACCTTAAAATTGTTTAAAAAAATGTAAAAACTGCTTTTATTGTAGCCGAAATAAAACAAATAAGACTTTCTCCAGAAGTAAAAATATTATCAGACACACTGCGGAAATTTCCTTGCTCTGTTAAACATCATTTGGAAAATATTTAAAAAAAAAAGAAGAAGAAAAAACACCAAAGGGGGTGAATAATTCTGATCATTCATCAGTAGATCATGCAGAATATGTGCATTATGAGCACTAATAAACAGCCGATATCTTAATAATAGGCGGGTAATAAGACACTACACTGTAAAAAAATCTGTTAATTACCAATTTCCGTATTTTGTGATTCATAATTGTTTTTCCGTTCATTTTAAGGTACCATTCTCGATATTAACTATGACTCCTAATTTGCTGCTTAACCAGTTAAACTCTGCGGACCCGGTACCAGGTTTGTGACGTCATCGACTTTCGCTTTAAGATTTAAAGGGCTAGCATTGCACCAGATTCCCTTAAGTGGTGTCGTTTGAAAGTGTAGAATCTATATTTTATGCACATATGCATCACTTTGGTTTTTATTCTACTGTACAAAAGTGATTTACACTTAAATACACAGTATTTTGGATACCTGAGCTAGGTAATTTACATTGGTTCATTTTCATATTTTTCATATAACACATGTACAAGTTATAGCTCAAATGAAAGCTCTTCCCGGTGCTCATACAGTTCTAGCATTCTTTTTACTGAATTATATTCACAAATCAAACAGTTGCCGAATGAATTGCGGTGTTTTCATGGTGCTGAAGTGAAAACAATACATTTATGATCAATGATCAGCCCCAGATAGCACAGACAGCTGTCATCTCTTAGCTTATGCTGTGTGCAGACAAATCTCTCTCTCTCTCATACGCGCGCGCGCACTAACACACACACAAGCACCAAGCAGATACACAGGCGTTTGCTGTTATATCAACTCAAAGGCTTGTAATACCATGTATCAAGTACCAATGTAATACCAAAAGGTTTTATATAAAGGTATATAAATACTGAGTCGCGCCAGCTCCGGGCCGCAGCGCACATTACTCTCGGGCCGATTCCGGCGCGGATGCGGCATCGTCGGCTCACTTACGGCCGCCGCATTTGGCCCGATTTAATCGGGCCGGAATCGGGCAGTGAGTCCACAAGCATCCGGAGTCCAGCAGCCGGAGCCGGGCTGAGTGGTAAGTCTCCGGCAGGCGAGAATCTAGTCGGAACTGGCCTGAGTGTATTTTGCTATCTGGGAAAGCTCTCTCTCTCTCATTCGCGCGTACTAACATACACACACACAAGCACTAAGCACACACACAGGCAAAGCTCGCTCTCGCTCCCTCTCTCTCTCTCTCTCTCATAGCAATATCCGCGATATTGCTAGACAGCCCGCTCCCGTCCCAAATTAAACCCGTTACCGACAGCTCCCGCGATTTATTCGGAAATTTATTCCCGCGCCGCAGAAATCTGGTCGGGTCTTGCGGCGCCCGCGGGACAGCCGCGGGAATGCAGACCTCTAATAGGTACTAAGACTCTAGTTATTATTGAGAATTCATCACAAATCTAAAACACAGAAAAATGAAAAAAGCAAGTCTTTGAGATTTTCAACTGTAGAGAATTACTGAAATGTCCAGCCCAGAGTCCTGACCTAAACCTTGCATCTGCATAACACACTTCTCTAACAAAATTTGGCTACATTTTATTTTAAGGTATTATTCTTGCTATTAACAAACTATTAATTATGACTTTTGTCTCACTACATTCCTACTGTGCTGCTTATTTATAGTTATTACAGTAATAGTTATAGTGATAATTAATAGTATTTATTATAGTTATACTAATAAAAACCCAATATCTTAATAATAGGTTAACAGGCAGGTATTAACTAATAAGACACTAGTTAATCGTGAGAATTTATCACCAAATCACAAATCCTAAACAAAGCAAATTGAATAAAGCAGTTTCTCAGGGCAATAATAAAATGTCCAGCCTAGAGTCCTGACCTAAACCTTGTGTCTGTATAACTCACTTCTCACCTTCTGTGTTTTCTGCAGGTCTGAGCATGCGCAGCAGTCAGGATGAGGAACCTACAGATCCGCAGCTCATGCGTCTGGATAACATGCTGCTGGCGGAGGGCGTGTCCGGGCCTGAGAAAGGGAGCGGGGCTGCGGCGGTTGCTGCGGCTACAGCAGCAGTGGGAGTCGGAGCTGACAACTCCATCGAGCACTCGGATTACAGAGCCAAACTCAGCCAGATCAGACAGATCTACCACACGGAGCTGGAGAAATACGAGCAGGTCTGCAGAAGAGAAAAATCAAAGAAATCAAGCAGGGCAAAATAGCTTATTACTGTAAAAATGACCCCACACAATTGAATTAAATAAAAGTTCTGTCAGTCTCCCATTTTTTTTTCAACTAATATTTGTTTTATTTTAATTTATTTTATTTTATTAATTTTGTCATTTAAAGCATTAAAAAACTAACTAAAAAGTGTCATGTTGCATATTAATTAACAGAGCTGTGTGTATTAATTTATACATAACGCAGTATCAATGTTTTAATATAACAAATTAAAATTTTAATTAAATTGAATTCAATTTATTTTATCAATTTTTTTTAAAATTCCTTATCTTAATATTAATATTTTTTTAATTTTCATTTAACCTAATTTTAAAAATGTTTTTCTTTCATTTATTATTTTATTTTATTACTTTTTATTTTATTTTATAAACTTTTCTTTCATTTGTCATTTTATTTCATAAATTTTTAATTTTATTTTATGTAATTCTATTTTTTTTTTTTTCTTTAATTTATTTTATTGAAAATTCTTTAATTTCATGCTTTATTTTATAATTTAAAAAATTGGATTTTATTTTCTAAAGGTTTTTTCTTTCATTTCATATCTTATTTTATTAATTTTTAATTTAATTTAAAGTTTTTTCCTTTCATTTCATATTATACTTTTTTTTATTTTTAATGTAAAGTTTTTTCTGTCTTTCTTGGTTTTATTTGATAAATTTTCCATTTATATTTTAAAAAGTTTTTTTCCTTTAAAATATTATCTTATTTTATTCACTTTCAATTAAATTTTCTAATGTATTTCTTTAATTTATTGTCATATTTTATATATTTTTTTAAATTTTATATTATTTTCTTTAATTTATATTTTTTATTAATTTTATTTAATTTTACAATGTTTTTCTTTCATTTCTCATATTATTATATAAAATTTTAGTTTTTATTTTATTTTATTTATTTTGTAAAGTTTTTTTCTTTAATTTTTTATCCTATTTTATTCATTTTTAATTTTATTTAGGTTTTATAAACATTTTTCTTTTATTTCTTCTATTTTATTTTATTATTTTTTGTTTTGTTTTGTTTAACTTAATGTGTCTAACCCTGTGAGTCTCCTTCATCAGTTATGATTAACTTGACTTCTTCACAGGCGTGTAACGAGTTCACTACCCATGTGATGAACCTGTTGAGGGAACAGTCTCGCACTCGACCCATTTCCCCCAAAGAGATCGAGCGCATGGTGAACATCATCCACCGCAAGTTCAGCTCCATCCAGATGCAACTCAAGCAGAGCACCTGTGAAGCTGTAATGATCCTGCGCTCACGATTCCTCGACGCCAGGTCAGAAATACACCAATTTCACATCCAAAACACACTCGCAAAACAGCTTGCAGCACATGCCTTTCACTGACACTAATTCTAATTCACAGTCACAGTCTAATTGTGGTGTTTTAGTGACTGTCGCTTTAAATTCAAATGAGATTGTGCTCTTTGCAAAAGAGGGCGGAGCTACAAATGCCTGTGTGTCAGCATAGTGGCAGATTTAAAACAGGACTTACGTTATCTCTAAAACTCCACACTTATAATGCCTCTTAGTGGCTGACGCATGGCTGCTTCTCACTTAGGGCTGTCTATGCTAACGAGGGAGAGATGGTCACTAGTGGGCGGAGCTTTTCCTTTGATGACACGTACAAAGGGAGACTGTCAATCAAAGTGTTCTGCAGACTGTTTTTATCAATTATGATTATAACAAATACATTGAAATAATGTTTACCATTAGACGCTGGTTATATTCACACACTGCTGACACACAACTGTGCTTAAACCCCGTATAAAAGGGATTTTTGCAGAATAAAAGTACAAATTCTGTCTTGTTTTGTAGGTTTTTACACATGTAGGTGTTTTTTGCGCATGTAGGTTTGTTTCTCCTTGTTTTGGATTTGCTGACAGCGAGGCGTTTGTGAACGAGTGGGAGATGTGATAATATTTTAAGGTCTTGTGAATCACGCTGTTTTCTAAAACTGGCAGAAGGAGGAGAAGTAGATCGGTGGGTGAAGGAAATGTGCCAATTACTGCCGGTCGGTTTGCAAGAGCACGAGTTACTTCGGAGTAAATTATGCATAAATCTGCTCAACAGAAGATTATTCAAATGATGGAATGCAAATGAGGCGGACAGTGATTGGTGGGTTCAGTGATGATGCAATGTGTATTTATACAGTATATTGCATTTATTGTGTATGGCCATACGCCCAAAGCGCTTCACAATTATGAGGGGGGGGGGGGGGGGTCTCTTCACTCCACCACCAGTGTGCAGCATCCACTTGGATGATGAGACGGCAGCCACAGGACAACAGCGCCAGTGCGCTCACCACACACCAGCTATCGGTGGAGTGGAGAGACAGTGATAGAGCCAATTCGGTGGAAGGGGATGATTAGGAGACCATGATGGGCAAGGGCCGATATAGGGAATTTGGCTTTGGGGTTACACCCCTGCTCTTTACCAGAAGTGTCATAGGATGTTTAATGACCACAGAGAGTCAGGACCTCGGCTTAACGTCTCATCTGAAAGACAAACGTTGATCTGATGTCATAGCATTGGGTTTAACCTTACCTTTCATTTAGTCTTCTAGATGATAAATAGAATAAAGCAAAATCTACTACATGTAGTCTTTTTAGTGTAAACACAAGCGTGATGGATGCTTTTTTTAGGTGCCTGACTTTTTTAAACAAAAAAGACACTTTAGTGCACAAAACAAATGCTGGGTTTTTGTAACCTAATGTTGGGTCAAATATGAACAAACCCAGCCACTGGGCTAAAAAGTGTCATTTAGAAAAAACTACTGTTGGGTTAACCCCAGGCTCATTCTGAAAGCATACACGCTATATACATTTTAGGAAAGCGCTAAATACATGCCAGGAGCTATATATTTTTGCAGTTTTTGTTTTCGAGAATCCACCAGAGGCCGCTGTGTACGCTTTTTAGATCTCAAATTTCTCTTGGGAATGCCATTTGCACCTGCTCTTCTCGCGTAAATCCACCAGAGGCCGCTGTCGACCGACTGACTGAGTGATCGACTGACCCACCCTCCTCCTTCCCTAAACAGACCCATAGGGCTCTATTTTGACGATCCATGCACAAAGTGCAAAGCGCAGAGCGCAAAAGCATTAAGGGCGTGTCAGAAACCACTTTTGCTAATTTAGGAACGGAAAAATGCGCTTTGCGCCGTGGTGCATGGTCTAAAAGGGTTGAGCTTATTTTCTTAATGAGAGTTATAGGTGTGTTTTGAAAATAAACCAATCAGAGTCTCATCTCCCATTCCCTTTAAGAGCCAGTTGCATCGCGCCAAAGCGCATTTGCTATTTACATGACGGACTTTGTAAGTGGAAAAACTGAGCATTTCACTAGCAAGAAAACAGCTAAACAGCATCTGCAGCGCGAGAATGAGAGATAAGGCACCAGAAATATTACAAAATATCGCACACCCAAAAGTCCCATCAATTATTCTTTATGTAAAGTATACATCCACACCAAAACAAACAAACATGTGTACCATTATAGATCTGGCAACACTAATGCATACCTGTCAACATTGGGGTGTGAAAATAAGGGATATGCCCACCATAATAAGGGATACCCCTTAAATAAACCGTTAAATGGTCAGTAATATATCTTTTATTATTATTATCTACAAAAGAAAAAATAAATATATAAATTAGCAGCAAATACATTAGCAACCAGTTCAGCTTATTAAAATGAATAGCTATTATAATGAAATAGAATCAAGTTATCAAATCCCATTAGCCGTTTCTTCACTGTATAATGTACACATTCTGATTAAAGAGCAACGAATGAATCTCTCATTTATTTAGACTTTTTCGTTTGATTACGTTAAATAACAGGTGTCACTTTAAAAATGCACACATCTAACAATATAATGAAGGCAGTTGACTGCTTTTTATGCTCATTTAAGACTAAATTAGTTGTGTTTGAAAAAAAAAAAAACACCAACATCGACATCTTTAGATATCATTATTATTATTAATTATGTGTGTATGTCTGTTTAAACACGCACCCAAAAGCCACTTTCGCTCCGCTTCAAGTCGCGTGTACAGAGTCCATTTGAGAAACAGCGTCTGTTTAACACTATGGAGCGCATCAGCTGACAGTCATGCACCATTATAGGACTGTTTTGAGGATTGCATATGAGGGGTGACGTCACCTGTAATAAAAAGAAAGGGGAATCACGCCATTTATATATTTATTTCAAAGTGTTTTCGTGCCTAAAAAAAGCGAAAGCACAGAACAGACTCACATTTAGGAGCAAGGGGCGGCCCCTAGTGGTTCGGCGGTATGGGTTGTGTATAGGGAGGCCTGACTCTTTAATGTTTCTTGCCACCCTTAAGAGAACCACTGAAAATACAGGAGAAATACGAGAAAATACCTTTATGGGATGATAGCGGGATAGAAAATATGGGAGAATCCTGGAAAAAACGGGAGGGTTGACAGGTATGCTAATGATTCCTGTTTCTCCAGGAGGAAAAGACGCAACTTCAGCAAGCAGGCGACGGAGATCCTGAACGAGTATTTCTACTCTCACCTCAGTAACCCTTATCCCAGCGAAGAGGCCAAAGAGGAGCTGGCCAAGAAATGTGCCATTACGGTTTCACAGGTGAGTCTGTCCGTACCGTGCACACTATAGCCTTCAGAAGGAAATTTAAGGGGATAGTTCACCCAAAAACGTAAAAAACACTCACTGTTTACTCTCCCTGAAGTGGTTCCAAACATTTCTGAGTTTCTTTATTCTGCTGAACACAAAAGGAGATAGTTTGAAGAAAGCTGAAAACCTGTAACCATTGACTTCCACAGTAGGAAAAACAAATACTATTGAAGTCAATGGTTACGGGTTTTTCTTAAAATATCTTTATTGATTTCGTTATGTTCCATTTGGAACAGTTAAAGGGTGAATAAATCATGATAGAATTTTCAGCTTTGGGGTGAACTATTCCTTTTAAGGCACATTATGTAATTATTTTACCACTAGAGGGCGTGTATTCACAACAAACAAAGGTGTAGTTTGATGATGGCGTAAGGAATCATGGAAGTTGTGGTCTTCATTACATCCTATGGGACTCATGATATTGAAGGATAAGCTGAAGTATTTATAACATTCCTGATCATGGTAATCTGACACAAAACAATGTTGAAAGCAGAAGTAAAATGTATGAAAGAAGCAGAGCTTTTATTATGCCATCGTCCACCACTTCCTGTTCTTCAGCTCATGATCACGTAAAGAAAAAACTGTGCTTTTTATCAGACTAAAACATTTTAGGCATGCTATAATGCTGCTCTGTGCAGTCGAATAAAACACACTACATAATAAAGCCTCGCTGCTTTGAACCAAACCAGAAATTGAGAGAGTGTGATATCATTAGCTTGAACACACAGCACACGCTCCATCTTACTAGTTAAAATTGCGTATTTCTCAGGGTGTGAAAATACTTCAGAACATTTGGGATAATGTCAAAGTACATATGTCGGCAACATATACAACACAGTTCTGTTTTTGGGGATATTTTAATGAAAAAATCTTACATCTTGTGCCTTTAACGTAACTAACAAAGTAGTTCAACCCAGGCTCATTGTAAATATGTGCCCAGGGCTACATTTTTGAGAACCGAGAAATACCTATAATGGTCTATGTCTGCTTGCAGTTTTAGTTTTCACTAACCCAGAAGCGGGCACAGTGCATACCTGTCAACATTGGAATTTGAAAATAAGGGATATGCCCACCATAATACGGACCCCCACCCCCCCCAAATCCATACATTGCTAAATATGTTCATTTGGAGCTGTTTCATTGTAAATAAACAGTTAAATGTTCAGTAAAATGTTTTATTATTATTATTTACGAAAGAAAAAATAAATATATACATCAGCAGCAAATACATTAAGTTTCATTTTTTCTGGTTCCTGGAACCATTATTTCTTGGACTCAAACCCCTGTCTGCTTCACCTCCCAAGCCTAGTGTCGTTCACCATGAATTCTGCTGCATGTGTAAAAAAAATATCCTAAAGGAGAATCTGACCCAATCCCAATTCTATTCTTGTACCCCTACCCCTTTCCCATGGCCCTAAAAACAAGGAACAAGGAAGGGCTATAAACTGTACCCCTAAAAAATGGGACAGCACTACAACACCTGCATATGTCATCGCAATCTCTTCATATGAGATTGACGAGGGTGACTGCTGTTGTTTTTCCAGTTGCGTTATTTTTTAGTATTAATCATCAGGAAATCACTGAAGGCTTCTGGGAAATTTTTGTACCCCGTGGTTTGGAGTGTGATTCTGAAAAATCTCTGTCTAGCCCTTCCCCTTAGCCCTACACCTTCAAGCTAAAGAGAATTGCGACACCCCTGCCCCTACACGTAAGGTAAGGGGAAGGGCTAAGGGGTAAAATAGGGATTGGGCCTAAGTCCGACCATCTGTTAGTGACCTCAAGCAGAAGAAAAATTTGATTCTGTATAAGGACAATGATCCAAAGCACATCAGCAAGTCCACTTCTTTCAAAATGAAGACTTTGGAGTGGCCTAGTCAAAGTCCTGATCTCAATCCACGTAGCATGCCCTTAAAAAGCTGATTCATGCTTAAAGAAAGCCTTCCAATGTGGCTTAAATATAACAATTTTGCTAAACAGTCACAGAAAAAAGCCGTCTTTGGTATTGCCCTGTAGCATTTGTTTTACACACAAAATGCTGCCCTTATGTACCTGCACGCACATATTTCTCGGTTCTCAAAAATGTTCCCCTGGGCCCATTTTCCCAATGAGCCTGTGTTGAGTTTGGTCGAAGGTGCTCTGTGACACTGTGAAGGTGCAGAGAATTTGGCTCAAATACAAGTGATGAAACAGCAATACTGCCCAGAAATATCTCAAAATGATATAACGCACAACAGTGCGCAGTTTTTGATCCTGGAGGTATTTGTACCATTTTCTTTATAGTTATTTAAGAAAATTTCAAAGTAAGGTTTAATTTGAGGTAATTCATTTGCCCAAACTTGCCAAAATTATAAAAATAATAAATATAGAAATGTATACACATGCAAACGTTCTAATATATTTTGTATAAACCCAGCAGGCACACAGCATCATATGACTTAATATTAGGTTAGATTTAGGTCATGACGTCAGGTGACCAAAATTCAATATCTAGTCAGCATCTACCAGACTACTGGCTCTATACTCTCACCAGGGAGCTCGAGGGTTTATGGGAGTATACCCAACCAGTCCACATGTGTTTTGTGGACTTGGAGAAGGCATTGAACCATGTCCCTCGTGGCATCCTGTGGAGAGTTCTTTTGGGAGTATTGGGTCAGAGGAGTCTGGTTTGCATTGCTGGCAATAAGTCCGACTTGTTTCCAGTGCATGTTGGACTCCGGCAGGGCTGCTCCTTGTCACCAATTCTGTTTATAATTTTTATGGACAGAATTTCAAGGTGCAGCCTTTGGCTGGAGGGGGTCTGTGTTGAGAAGTACAGCATTTCATCGATTATTCGCAGACGATGTTGTTCTGTTGGCTTTATCGAACATGGACCTTTAGCATGTATTGGGGAAGTTTGCTGCTGAGTGTGATGCGACTGGGATAAGAATCTCCTAAGACTGTTGCCCCCATGACCAATGAGTTCAATGAATGAATGTCTAGCCAGCGTCTAAGGACAACGTTATTTTGACGTCCAATAACAACGTCAAATAAATTACCTTGATATTTGGTTGATTTTAGTCTTGGAAAGTGACCAAAATCCAATGTCTGATAGATGTCATAGTGGTAACATGCACACAATGCCAAGGTGTAAAATGAATAGACGTTGATATTTGGTTGATTTAAGGTTGATTTTAGGTTGGACATTGGACAAAGACGTCTGCCTGACGTTGGGTTCTGACGTCAACTTGATTTTCATTTCCAAACAAAATCCAATGTCCCCACGACGTTGGGGTACGTCGGCATACAATGTTAATGTGACTGTAACCACGGGGAGTGACACAAACAACAGAAGTAGGATCCAAATGCAGGTTTAATCAGTGGTCAGGCAAGCAATAGTCAATACAGGTGTAAACTGGTATATGCAGACAATCCAGAATCGTAGTCGAATAACAGGCAAGGAGGTCAGAATGTAGGCGACAAACAAGGACAAAAGGATAAGCTAGGATAAGGTCAAAACACGGAGAAACAAGACAAGGAAAACGCGTTGTAGTGTTACTTTACAGTTAACAAGACTTACAATGGGAGTGAGTGAGTGTGCTGCTTAAATAGTGTGTGCAATCAGTCTCTGACAATCCTCAGGTGGTGCTAGTAATCAGTCTAGATGAGGAAGCATGTGTGAGTGTGACCGGAGTGCATGAATGAATATGTAGTCCAGAAATGGCGGAATTGTAGTCCATAAGTTATTGTGAGTGAGATCCAGCGATCTATGGAGTTATGATCGTTGGAGATTGTGACAGTGACGTCATGTTGACGTCCTGTACCTGCAGGGAAGGTATTACATACATTAATTTATTTACCTTCAGCTTAGTCCCTTTATCAGGAGTCGTCACAGCAGAATGAACTGCCAATTATTCCAGCATATGTTTTGCTGGGAAAAACCCATACACTCGCATTCACACACTCATACACTATAGCCCATTTAGTTTACGCAATTCACATATAGCGCATGTATGTGTTTGGGGAAAACCGGAGCATTTGGAGGAAACCCACACCAACACGGGGAGAACATGCAAACTTCACACAGAAACGCCAACTGGTCCAGTTGGGACTCGAACCAGCGAGCCACCGTGCTGCTCGGGTATTAAAGATCTAAGCAAAACAAACATTTCATTCTTAATAAACATTGTAAATTTAGAGTTTAGCATTTTAATTGTTTAGAAATTCACTTGCAGCGAAGGCCATTTCAAAATGAGTCCTACATCAAACCCCAAGCTTGCATAAGATCATGTAAACTGAGCACTTTTAACAAAAACACCATCTAAAATGGTATTTTTACCTCCAGAAGTCGGACTGTTGTGCTACAGAGATCTGGGCACAGATGATGATAGCGTGAGCCACTTTTATGGTTTATGTCTGTGTAACGGTTGGGTATGTACAGGAGGTGGTCTCTGTAAAAAAGCCCCTTGTTTTTGTGCCCTCAGGGGAAGGGAAGCACCATCACTGTGTCACAGGTATGTTCATTAAAACATCGTCTGTCAGTCCGTCCGCTGTGTTGTCTGTCACTGTGTCTCTGTGTGCTCAAAACAGAAACAAAACAGGCCCAAATGACATGATTAGCATCGAAAATGAATGAAATTGTGGTGATTTCTCAAATTTTGCAGCAATGTTTACAGCATTAACTACTCATCTGCTGCCTGATTGATATATGGAATGTTTCACAATGAAGACTTTTATTTTATCTGACTGTTTTTACAGTCAAAGTCTGAATTATTAGCCCTCCTCTTCAATCTATATCCTTTTATATACTTTTTTTTTTTACAATTTATATTTAATAAAGATTTTTTATCAACACATTTCTAAACATAATAGATTTAATAACTCATTTTTAATAACTGATTTATTTTATCTTTGCCATGATGACAGCACATAATATTTGACTAGATATTTTTCAAGTCACTTCTATACAGCTTAAAGTGACATTTAAAGGCTTAACCAGGCTAATTAGGTTCACTAGGCGGGGTAATTAGGCAAGTCATTGTATAACAGTGGTTCGTTCTGTAAACTATTGAAAAAAATATTGCTTAAGGGGGCTAATAATATTAACCTTAAAATAGTTTAAAATAAATTAAAAACTGCTTTTATTCTAGTCGAATTAAAACAATTAAGGCTTTCTTCAGAGGAAAAAATATTATAGGAAATACTGTAAAAAAATTCTGTGCTTGATTAAAAATATAAATTTATAACAAAACAAATTTGAAATATATAAGAAATATTTAAAATCAATTAATCTATCTCTGTTTATTATTATTACTACTACTGTATCTCAGTATCATATACAGTGGGTCACACTTCAAAGGAACCATTACCGCTGTGCGAGGCGCCGCGCCGGCAATAGGGGATTAAGAACATGCTTTTAGCTGTAACAGCCGTTTGCCACCAGGGGGCACAAAGACACGGGATGGGAACAGACAGAAATATACAGTAGCTACACGCTGTTACTTAAAAATGTAGATGAAATAATGAAACAAAGCATTATAATTCCTTCATTAATCATTAAACACTTGTTAACAAGCTTTATTATCAATGTAAACTTGTTTAATAAGGATTCATTTTGTAAAGTAAAATAAAAAAATAAAAGACAACTAAAATGAAAGTACAAACATACATACATACACGAATAAATAAATAAATAAAGCCGTGTAAATTTAGCCTAATATAGAGAGATGTACAGTGTTTATTATTTAAAGTGATAGGACTAACACTGTCAATAATAAGCGTTTTCATTTGCATTTTCGTTGTTGATTATATAGTTCTTTCTCATTTTATGTCTTAATTAATGCACATAAATAAAAAAAGTACAATTAAATAGGCCTAAATAATAATTTTTAAAAGACATTACCAGCGAAACACGGAAAAACGGTCACTAGGGCCAACTTAGTTTACTCAGTTCACCTATAGCGCAGGTGTTTGGACTGTAGGGGAAACCGGAGCACCCGGAAGAAACCCACGTCAATATGGGGAGAACATGCAAACTCCACACAGAAATGCCAACTGACCCAGCTGGGACTCGAACCAGCGACCTTCTTGCTGGGATATAATATACTTACAATAAATATAATGCACTTATTGTGAGAAATTGTTTCAGACTTACATTTGTGACCCTATAAATAGCAAGTAATTGGCATTTTTCCCAGCTTAAGTTAAACAAGAAAATCGCAAGCTCCAAAACATTGTGGCATGATTTTGCGTTTAAAATCCGGAAGTGGCCGAATGACAAACAGAACAAAATACTGTCATTTATTCAATGCAAAACTTAAAATAAGACATTCAGCCAATGCAAACATTATGAAGACAATAAGATGCATTTTTTTGCTCATGTCTTCTGGGTGTTTTTTATTGGATCCAGAGATTATGACATGAGCGCGGCATTTTTTATAGCGCTTCTTGAACCATCCTTTACCCCATTGGCAGTTTAAGGATTGTTTGGAGATATTTTATGAAGGAACCATTGCTCGGGGTGGATGTAATTTTAATATGCTCGGGTTTCTGCCACGGTAATGTGCTTTTGCTAAAGGTTGGTCCATTTACAATGTCCTACAATTGTATGAGGATACCAGTCATTGTAAAACATGTGTAAAAAGGCATGCATGGTTGTTTTGTTTAAACCCATATTTTATTGAACTTTGGAGTGAAAACATGTTTTTTATTAACTATAAATGTACCGTAAGTGAAACCATGTGTCAGGGTAACCACTGAGGGAAAATTTGATTCATTTTAATTTGAGATATAGTCACAAATACAAATACTGTTGTTGAATCCTTATGAAGGATCATGTGACACTGAAAATTCAGTTTTAAATCACAAAAATAAATCATATTTTAAAACGTCTTTAAAAAGAAAATACTTCTTTTAAGTTGTAATAAGATGCTACAATATTAGTGAATTTACTGCATTTCCATTTTTTTTTTACTTTTCATTTTCCTTGGTGAGCCGTATTAAGCATTAAAAAGACGCCACAACCTAGGATATCACATGTTAATCACAAATTTTTATTTATTGATTGATTTTTTTTTAATTTGAGGAGAAATTCTTTTCTCATATTATTAATCTGCATTTGTTCGTCTTTCTGCCTCTCTCTCAGGTGTCGAACTGGTTTGGTAATAAGCGTATTCGCTATAAGAAGAACATCGGAAAGTTCCAGGAGGAGGCAAATCTGTACGCAGCGAAGACGGCAGTGACGGCGGCTCAGGCTGTAGCGGCTGCAGTGCAGAACAGCCAGAACAACTCGCCCGCAACACCCAGCTCCGGTATACACACAACATTAAACAGAAACAACATTTATCCAACTGAAATGGTTTCTGTTTTCCTATTGAAATGGATCCCACCCTTAATGACTGATTGCCTCACCCTAAATGACTGATAGCCCCACCCTAAAAAACTGGTGACTTATAGTCCCACCCTAAAGGACTGATAGCCCCACCCTAATAGACTGATAGCCCCGCACTAAAGGACTGATGACTGATAGTTTCTGCCCTAAAGGACTAAAAGCTCCACCCTAAAAGACTGATAGCCCCGCCCTAAAAGACTGATAGCCCCGCCCTAAAGGATTGAAAACACCACCCTAAAGGACTGATAGTCTCTCCCTAAAGGACTGATGACTAATAGTACCACCCTAAAGGACTGATGATAGATATTCTCACCCTAAAGGACTAATAGCCCCGCCCTAAAAGACTGATAGTCCCACCCTACAGGACAGAAATTTCCATCCTAAAAGACTTATAGCCTCGTCCTCCCTAAAAGACTGAAAGCTCCACCCTAAAGGACTAATAGCCCCGCCTAAAGGACTGATGACTGAAAGTCCCACCCTAAAAGACAGAAAGCTCCAACCTAAAGGACTGACAGCCCCACCCTAAAAGGCTGATGACCCCACCCTAAAGGACTGACAGCCCCACCCTAAAAGACTGAAACCTCCACCCTGTAAGACTAAAAGCTCCACCCTAAAGGACTAATAGCCCCGCCCTAAAAGACTGTTGACTGATAGTCCCGCCCTAAAGGACTCATAGCCCCACCCTAAAGGACTGATAACCCCACCCTAAAGGACTGACAGCCCCACCCTAAAAGACTGAAAGCTCCAGCCTTAAAGACTTATAGCCTTGCCCTAAGAGACTGAAAGCTCCATCCTGAAAGAACCACCATAAAGGACTAATAGCCCCGCCCTAAAATATTGATGACTGATATTCCCACCTTAAAGGACAGAAAGCTCTACCCTAAAGGACTGATAGCACCGCCCTAAAAGACTGATGACTGATAGTCCCGCCCTAGAGGACTTATAGCCCCACCCTAAATGACTGATAGCCCCACCCTAAATGACTGTTAGTCCCGCCCTAAATGACTGATAGCCCCGCCGTAAATCACAGATAGTCTCACTCTAAATCACTTATAACCCCCCAAATGACTGATAGCCCCCCTAAATCACTGAGAGCTCCACCCTAAGTGACTAAAAGCTCTACCCTTATTGCATTACATGTGAACAGAAGTTAAGTAAAGTCTTTTGAGAGGGGAGGGAAGGTTATGGTGTTTGATTAAAATTGAGGGCACATATTTTTACAAAACAATGAAGTGCAAATACACTGCACATTGTTTAAAACAAACACTACTAAAGATCTGAAAATGCTGACCCACATTTCTAAAATGAATTAAAAAAAAACATTAAAAGAGTTCTGTCGGTCATCTTCTATACAGGTTTTCAGATGAAAGATGAAGAGTTTCAACTGGACGCAGCAGAAGATAAAAACAATCTGTTAAACAACATGTTCACTGGTACGGCAGACTCTTCCTGTGATCATTCATTATCATTAGACTCAACTTCCTCTGTCTGTCTTCCTGTTTGTTTGTGTGTTTGTTAGACAATATGCATATAAAGTATCACACTGATGACCTTTTTTTGAACATCTCGTCAACATAAGTTTTGTGACCGATGAAAGTTTTTGTTAATTATAATAATATACACAAATCAAACAAACTGATGAATTGTAAAGCATGGATACAAAAGTCCAAAGCAAAATAAACAAACAATAACAATACCATTGTATGACTTTCATTAAAACAAATGTAATTTGATCACAATGAAGCTGTGAGAGCAACTAGTTAATATATAAGTTTACCTGTTTTAATAAGTTATGAATTGCCTATAAAGCTTTAGAAAAATCACACAAGAGTATTAAAGGGGTCATAAACTGAGAAACTAAATTGCTCTTGGTCTTTTGACATATTAGAGCTCATAATATTATAAAAACATCCTGTAGGTTTCGGGGCTCAAACCCTTTTGTTACTCTAAAATCAGCTTATATTAAAGACAGTGTGAAACACTTTTTGGAATGATCGACTCTATGATGTAATAGAGTGGATAAGCCCCGCCTCTGCTGACAATCGACACCTACTAGTCCTGTTAATATGCAAAATTGTTAGCCAATCAGAGCAGTGGGTGTTTACTTCTTATTTATTTAGGTTTCAGATGTAGATATGTGTGTATTTAAGGTACCTTCATGCACCTTGAATTTACGCAAGTGAAAAATTAAATTAAATTAAATTAAATTAAATTAAATTAAATTAAATTAAATTAAATTAAATTAAATTAATTAATTCATTTTCTTTTCGGCTTAGTCCCTTTATTAATCTGGGGTTGCCACAGCGGAATGAACCGCCAACTTATCCAGCATATGTTTTACGCAGCGGATGCCCTTCTAGCTGCACTCACTGGGAAACACATACACACTCATACACTACGGACAATGTAGCCTCCCCAATTCACCTGTACCGCATGTCTGGACTGTGGTGGAAACCCACGCGAACACAGGGAGAACATGCAAACTTCACACAGAAACGCCATCTGACCCAGCCAAGGCTGGTTTTCAGATGTAGAAACGTGTGTATTTAAGCTACCTTCATGCACCTTGAATTGACCCAAGCAAACAAATTAAATTAAATTAAATTAAATTAAATTAAATTAAATTAAATTAAATTAAATTAAATTAAATTAAATTAAATTAGATTCAATTCAATTCAATTCAATTCAATTCAATTCAATTATTATTATTTTATTTAATTAAAACACTATTTTTGTAAGGGAGTGAGAGGATATGGTTTACAATTACATCACTCCCCAGCAAACAGGCAGTTAATATGCAAAACTGTTAGCCAATCAGAGCAGTGGACCACGCCCATTGAGACAGAGCAATTTAATGCTTGGGTCAAAAACAGCACAGTTTTTAATAGTCAATTGCTTCAAAATTATGATATTCTGGATATAAAATCTTTACACCAATCAAAAGAGGACTTCAAAGAAATTTACTAAATAAAAATAAAAAACTGACTTAGTTCAGGATTGTGTTGTTGTATTTTACATTAAAGAATAAAACGAGAAGATATCCAGACTGATAAAGACAAACTTAGGGCCCCATCATACACCCGGCGCAATAAGGCGCAAGACGTGTTTGGCGTGATGTGTTGCTATTTTCAGACCAGTGCAGCCCTAATTTTCCTGTTTTGTGCCACATTGTTTAAAAAGCAAATCTATTTGTCCCGCTTTGTGTGTGCTAGTCTAGAAAGGAGGTGTGTTAAAGTGCATTGCTGGTACGTTGCTATTTTGAGGAACTAATGGCCCGTTTCCACTAACTGGTAAAGTTCGGTACAGGTCGGTATGGGTCACCTTTGTCAGGTTTGCATTTCCACTACCAAGGGTAACCTTTCGGTGAGTGTGGTGTACGACAGAAAGTTAATAAATAAATAAATGCAACATATATGAACACATACATCCCTTTACAGTCTCTGATATATTACCAATTACAGAAAAACTACACACAGCAGACATTTAGTCCTTATTTAGGTTCAAAAACCTCACAAAATATCGGCCACAGTCAGAGCAAACCTCTCATCTGTGTCTATAATGTACACCAGCACATGTTAGCTCTCTTAGAAAGCAACTCTGTCATTTTGAGTTCATAATAGTCCAAAAGGCGATGATAAACATGGCAGTTTGTTTATGATTCAGGTTGCTGAAACTATTTGCTCCTGTTTTGTCTGGCTTCTCCTTTGTTTGTTTGCGCTTCACTCTTGCGTTTGTCTTTTTCTTTCTGAAAGGATCAGATGCTGGAGACACTTCAATAGTCACGCACACATTATTATCATCAGCTCAAGAAGTTTGTTATATCAAATATAGAAGCGATCATAAGCTCCCTGGAGAAAGCAAAAACCGCTCGCACTTTTAGACAGGCTCGTAAAACAGCAACAGGACACGGCAGATTTGCTATTCTTGGCTTTGTGTCCATACATCAAGACGACGACAGGGTTTCTTTGAGCTCAGGTCATCCATAGCTTATTATTATATGTATATATTATTTGTATTATATGTATATATATATATATATATTTATAACATGGCGGTTCCTTTGTTTTCATTCTGGCTAGCTCCACAAGCTCGTGATGTATCTCTGTAACCAATCAGCGTTCAGCTGCGGTGTAGCTCCACCTTTTGGTACCCTTTCTCGTGTTTTGGTACCCTTTCGAAAGTGTGCTGAAAAACTTACTGTGAAAACGGCCATTAAAGCGTACCGAACCGTACCACTCAGTGGAAACGGCCTATAAAATAGACAGCACCATTGACCAGCTAAAAGCTTTGCTTTTGTATAATGTTTTTATTATTAGCAGTATTATTTATTATATGAATTTTTATGGTGGCGCAGTGGCGCAGTAGGTAGTGCTGTCGCCTCACAGCAAGAGGGTCGCTGGTTCGAGCCTCAGCTAAGTCAGTTGGCGTTTCTGTGTGGAGTTTGCATGTTCTCCGCGTCTTCGTGTGGGTTTCCTCCGGGTGCTCCGGTTTCCCCCACAGTCCAGAGACATGCGGCACACGTGAATTGGGTAGGCTAAATTGTCCGTATTGTACGAGTGTGAATGAGTGTCAATGGATGTTTCCCAGAGATGGGTTACAGCTGGAAGGGCTTCGGCTTGCGTAAAACATGATTCCGCTGTGGCGACCCTGGATTAATAAGGGAGCTAAGCCAAAAAGAAAACAAATGAATGAATGTATATTTATATTTGTTTTATTAAAAACAAGCTCAGATTTGTCCACCTGTCGGGTTTTGGACCATATGGGGCATAAGAACAGGATGTGTGTTTGAGTATAACTCCATGTGGTTTTTTGAACACACTTTGTTATTATTGTTCGTTTATTTGTTTGCTGGAAATTAGAACTGAAGTTAGAAATAGTTTTGAAACAAATCTTTGCGCTTAACAAACTAAATTAAATATGTAGGCTAATGGATGTTTTCAGTGGAGAGAGTTTCCACCATTTCAGAGCGTATTTTTCCGTCCTTAAAATAGCAAAAGTGGATTCGTACACACCCTTAATGCTGTTGCACCATGCACTTTAGACTTTGCGCCTAGACCGTAAAAATAGAGCCCCTAATGTCAAACATGTCTCTGTTTGTCTGCAGGTACTTCAGGTTCACACAGTTTACCAGGTTCAGGAGACTTGTTTATGAGTATGTCCAGTCTGAACGGGTCATACCAGTCCAATCAGGTCACCGGCGCTGGACAGACACAGGTAGCACACACACACAAGCACGCACGCACACACACACACACACACACACATTTCTTCATCTACAGTTGAAGTCAGAATTATTAGCCCTCCTAAAATATTATTGTCCCTTTACATTTTTTTCCCAATTTCTGTTTATCAGAGAGAATATTTTTCAGCACATTTCAAAGCACAATATTTTTAATGACTCATTTCTGATTTCTGACTTATTTTATCTTTGCCGTGATGACAGCACGTAATATTTGACTAGATATTTTTTCAAGAGACTAGTATTCAACTTAAAGAGACTTTAAAAGGCTTAACTAGAGTAATTAGGGTAAAGTTAGGGTAATTAGGCAAGTCATTGTATAACGATGGTTTGTTCTGTAGACAAACAAAGATAGCTTAAGGGGGCTAATAATATTGACCTTATAATGGTTTTATAAAAAAAAAATTTTGCCGAAATAAAGCAAATAAGACTTTCTCCAGAAGAAATAATAATATAGGAAATACTGTGAAAAATACCTGAATCTGTTCAGCATCATTTGGGAAATGTTTGAAAATAAAAAAAACAAAAATCACAGGAGGGCGATTTATTGTGACTTTTGCTACTTTGATACAATCTATGTTGATGAATTTAATGTGTTAAAAATGGTACACACAATACTGAAGACGTTCATTTCTTTCAAACAGGGAGACTCCATACGTCACGCCATCGGCCAGTCATTGGGTTACAGTGATGGTCTGCGGGGAAACCCACTTTACAGCCCTCATGGCCTGAATGTAAGTTACAGAGAGAACATTTTTAAAATTTGCAAAAAAATAAATAATTTTAAATTACATTTAATTTAATTTGATTTAATTAAAAACTCTAATAATAAATGTATTATGAATTATTATTATTACTATTTTATTTTATTTTTACTATTTATTTATTTACTATTACTTTTATATGTAGATCTGTGCCTATTTAAGCTACATTCATGAACTTTGAATTTACCCAATGAGACAATTTAATTTAATTTAACAATTTAATTTAATTTAATTTAATTTATTTTATTTTATTTTATTTTATTTTATTTTATTTTATTTTATTTTATTTTATTTTATTTTATTTTTATTTAATTTAATTTATTTAATTTAATTTAAAAAATCTTTTTCACAATTAAAAAAAAATGATTTAAATACAATTATTTAAATTATATTTTTGTGTGTGTGTGTGTGTGGGGGGGGGGGGGGGGGGGGGTGGGGGGGGTGCTGAGAGTATATGATTAGGTTAGTGTTGAGACAACCTGTAATTTCTGAATGGCCTTGTTGAATACCAATGATAAAATAAAATAAAAAACTAGTAGCCACTAGTATGAGTAGCTACACTGAAACAACGACACCTTAAATCAAAATGTAACCAAACATTCGTGCAATTTACGACCCTTTTTACTAAACTGACATGTTTCAATTAGACATGTTTTGAATTCATCGTTTAAATTAGTAGAATTTGAAATGTAATTAAAACACGACTAGTGTATTATTAAAAAAACACACACATTCTGAAAACGTCATCAAACACAGATGACAAAACATACCGTTGAAGTCAGAATTGTTAGCCCACTTTGATTTTTTTTTTCCCAATATTTCCCAAATTATGTTTAACAGAGCAAGGGAATTTTCACAGTATTACTGATAATATTATTTCTTCTGGAGAAAGTCTTATGTGTTTTATTTCCTTTTTATTTTATTTTAAATAATAAAAACAGTTTAAGGTCAAAATTGTTAGCTCCTTTACACTATATATTTTTCGATAGTCTACAGAACAAACCATCGTTATACAATAACTTGCCTAATTACCCTAACCTGCCTAGTTAACCTAATTAGCCTAGTTAAGCCTTTAAATGTCACTTTAAGTGTCTTGAAAAATATCTAGTTAAATATTATTTACTGTCATCAAGGCAAAGATAAAATAAATCAAATATTATGAGTTATTAAAACTATTATGTGCAGAAATGTGTTGAAAAAATCTGCTCTCTGTTAAACAGAAATTTTCCTAAGCTGAAGGAAAATGAATGCATGAATTTTGAGGGGAGAGTGAGATCTTATGCTTTTGTTGAAGTTGAGACAATCTTTAATTTCCTATTCTGCATTGTATGTATTAGGTATTGCCATGTTAAATACCACAGATGACAAAATATTAACACTTTCTATCTAAGCAGACTCAAATCCGCACCAAAGCTGTAGTGTAAAGTGCGTTAGAGTCTGAATACTGAAAGCGGTGGTGAAGGACTAATCTCCTCACAGCAGGTCTTCTGGACTCATTCAGACAGACGCTGTATGATCAAACCATGAGCCCACAAAGACGACAGGCCAGATTAATTCTGGCTGAGGTGATGCCGCCTCTGTGAAAAGCCAAAGATAAACGTATGGATTCATATTAACATTCACACACGAGGCTGTTTGCCAGGATGGAAAGCAAATGAGCTCAATTTCCATGATTGCAAAATGCATCTAATAACAAACATACAGTTGAAGTCGAAATTATTCGCCCTCCTGTGAATTTCCTTTTCAAATATTTCCCAAACGATGTTTAACAGAGCAAGGAATTGTTCACAGTATTTCCTATATTATTTTTTCTTCTGAAGAAAGTTTTATTTGTTTTATTTCGGCTAGAATGAAAGCAGTTTTTAATTTTTAAAAATAATTTTAAGGTCAATATTATTAAGCAATATTTTTATCCGATTGTCTTCAGAACAAACCATTGTTATACACACACTGGCCACTTTATTAGGTACACCTTACGAGTACTGTTTTGGACCTCCTTTTGCCTTCAGAACTGCTTTAATCCTTCATGGCGTAGATTCAACAAGATACTGGAAACATTGCTCAAAGATTTCCCTCCATATTGACATGAGAGCATCACGCAGTTGCTGCAGATTTGTCGGCTGCACATCCATGATGCCAATCTCCCGTTCCACCACATTCCAAAGGTGCTCAATTGGATTGAGCTCTGGTGACTGTGGAGGCCATTTGAGTACAGTGAACTCATTGCCATGTTTAAGAAACCAGTCTGAGATGATTCACGCTTTATGACATGGTGTGTTATTCTACTGGAAGTAGCCATCAGAAGATGGGTACACTGTGGTCATAAAGAGATAGAAATGGTCAACAACAATACCCAGGTAGGCTGTGGTGTTGACACGATGCTCGGTTGGTACTAATGAGCCCAAAGTGTGCCAAGAAAATATCCCCCACACCATTACACCACCTCCAGCAGCCTGAACCATTGATACAAGGCAGGATGGATCCATGCTTTCATGATGTTGACGCCAAATTCTGACCCGACCATCCGAATATCACAGCAGAAATGGAGACTCATCAGAGCAGGCAACGTTTCTCCAATCTTCTATTGTCCAGTTTTGATGAGCCTGTGTGAATTGTAGCCTCAGTTTCCTGCTCTTAGCTGACAGGAGCGGCACCCGGTGTGGTCTTCTGCTGCTGTAGCCCATCTGCCTCAAGGTTGGATGTGTTGTGTGTTCAGAGATGCTCTTCTGCAGACCTCAGTTGCCTTTCTATCAGCTAGATTCTGGCCATTCTCCTATGACTTCTGGCATCAACAAGGCATTTGCACTCACATATCTGCCGCTTACTGGATATTTCCTCTTTTTCAGATCATTCCCTGTAAACCCTAAAGATGGTTGTGCATGAAAATCCCAGTAGATCAGCAGTTTCTGAAATACTCAGACCAGCCCGTCTGGCACCAACAACCATGCTAAGTTCAAAGTCCCTTAAATCACCTTTCTTCCTCATTCCGATGCTCGGTTTGAACAGCAGCAGATCATCTTGACCAGAGCTGCGTCCGAAACTGCATACTTCCATACTATATAGTACGCTAAAATCAGTATGCGAGCCGAGTAGTATGTCCGAATTCATAGAATTCGAAAAACAGTATGCGAGAAGTACCCGGATGACTTACTACTTCCGGCGAGATTCTAGAGTGCGCATCCCATGCACGCTGCGCTATCCCATGATGCCCCGCGAGCAAATTAATGAATGAGATTAAAGCGATGCAATTGACGCAAGCAGGTCACGTGACCATGACAAAATGGCGGATGTAGTACGTCTGAATTACATTCATACTTTTCACATTCATACTGTATAGAACGTACTTTTCTAACGGCCGAGTAGTACGTTTAAATTCAAATGCAGTACCTACTGAGTAGGCGGTTTTGGACGCAGCCCATGTCTATAGCCTAAATGCATTGAGTTGCCGCCACGTGATTGGCTAATTAGACATTTGCTTTAACGAGCCGTCGGACAGGTGCATCTAATAAAGTGCTTAATTAACTTAACCTTAATCAAGCCTTTAAATGTCACTTCAAGCTGAATACTAGTATCTTGAAAAATATCTAGTCAAATATTATGTGCTGTCATCATGGCAAAGATAAAAGAAATCAGTTATTAAAACTGAGTTTGTAAAACTATTATTAGAAATGTGTTGAAAAAAAAATCACTTTGTTAAAAAGAAATTAAGGAAATAAATATACAGTGTGGCTAATAATTCAGGAGGGCTACTAACTCTGACTTCGACTGTTTATCTGAACCGTGCATTGTGTAAGGTCGGATTTTCAGTCCATTTTCTTATCGCTGTAATAAAATATGAAACTGGAATTGCTTGCAGCTTTTTATATCCATGTGAAAAGCGTCTTTCCCAGATGAGGTTTGATAAGGCTGGCTTCATAATGGAGTTGATCTGGAGTCGCGGTGTTAAAGCTTCATTTATCTACTGAGGCAGACAGAAAAGCGGCCTGACTCTATAATACCGACGCCAGGAGAAAATAATAATCACACAGAGCGTTAGATGTCATGGACACTTAATGATATTTGTTATTAACGTTTACACAACCTTGACTTTAGGGGTTCTGTTTCATGACACAAGTCATTTTATTTCATGCTAACTATATATTTCATGATATGGTCATTTAAATTGGAAGTAACAAAAAGGATTATATAATAAATTAAATGAAACAATCACTTTAAATGTGACCTACTGTATTATGCCACTGTGCGTGAATGGAATAGGCCAGGGGTGGCCAACCCTGTTCCTGGAGAGCCACCTTCCTGCAGATTTCAGTTGCTACCCATATCAAACACACCTGAACCAATTAATTAGGACCTGAACACCATGTGATAATTACAGGCAGGTGTGTTTGATATGGGTTGTAACTGCAATCTGCAGGAAGGTGGCTCTCCAGAACCAGGGTTGGCCACCACTGGAATAGGCCATAATGGGGATAACTACTGTAATACTAGAACACAGCCTTGAGCTCTGCTTCTAAATACAGCTCTAAATGTGAAGCTCAAAACACACAAGTTTGTGGATTATGGATATGAGTTTTGTCTGATCTCACTTTTTAAAATCAATAGCAGCTAATGTCTCCATTCTGACCTTAACTTGGTGTTTTCTGTGTCTATTTACAGGGTAATGGCGTTTGGCATGATGCCGTCACTCCGTCATCAGTCACGTCTCCTATAGAGGGAACAAACAGCATTCACTCAGATACCTCTAACTGACCAGTTCCCCAAACCGGATAACCCACAGCAGCCCACAAAATCTCCAGCGATAACTAATGAAGCAGACCTAAAACTGCACTTTGACCAAAAGAGAACCACACTGCAAAAATGAACCCAGGATTAATGGCTCCAGTTTTCTTTCCAGAACTGGTGATACCTCACCAAACATCACCAACATGTACGATTGTGCAAACGAGGGACACTTTTCTCATAATCTTTGTGAACATTTTGGATAATATATATTATGGTTTGAATTGACTTGTAAAGTTGTTTTCTTGCACACTGGTAAAAAAAGATTAGTTGATTTTACTTTACTTAATGTGAGTAAACCCATTGCGATTAAATCGATTTGTTGACTTTACTTTTAAAAGCAAGTAAACCTGTTGCTTTTTCAGTAATTAATTGACTTCACTTTAAAAAGTGAGTAAACCTGTTGCTTGTATAGTAAATAGATGACTTTATTTTAAAAAGTCAGTAACCGCTTTTATAGTAATTAGATGACTAGTAAACTCTTTTAAAGCAATAAGTTGACATTACTTTAAAAATTGAGTAAACTTTTTTAAAGCGATCAGCTGACTTTACTTAAAGTGAGTAAACTTTGAAAGCGATTAGTTAACTACTTAAAGTGAGAAAACTCTTAAAGTGATTAGTTGACTTTACTTTAAAAATTAAGTAAACTAAGCAATTACTTGAATTTAAAAAGTGAGTAAACTTTTAAAAAGCAATTAATTGACTTTTAAAGCAAGTAAAACTGTTTTATAGTGATTAATTGACTTGCGAGTTAAAGCAATTAGTTGACTTTACTTAAGGTGAAATAACTCACTTAAAGCAATTAGTTGAATTTACTTCAGGTAAATTAACTCTTTTAAAGTGATTAGTTGAATATTCTTAAAAGTGAGTAAATGTGTTGTTTTTAAATTGATTCGATGACTTATTTAAATTTTTAAAAAGTAAACTCTTTTAAAGCGATGAGTTGACTACTTAAAGTGACTAAACTCTTTTAAAGCGATTAGTTAACTTTACTTTAAAAATTGAGTAAACTCTTTTAAAGCGATTAGTTGAATTTACTTAAAAAATTGAATAAACTCTTTTAAAAGCGATTAGTTGACTTTACTTTAAAAATTGAATAAACTCTTTTAAAGCGATTAGTTGACTACTTTAAAAATTGAATAAACTCTTTTAAAAGCGATTAGTTGACTTTACTTTAAAAATTGAGTAAACTCTTTTAAAGCGATTAGTTGACTTTACTTTAAAAATTGAGTAAACTCTTTTAAAGCGATTAGTTGACTTTACTTTAAAAATTGAATAAACTCTTTTAAAGCGATTAGTTGACTTTACTTTAAAAATTGAGTAAACTCTTTTAAAGCGATTAGTTGACTTTACTTTAAAAATTGAATAAACTCTTTTAAAAGCGATTAGTTGACTTTACTTTAAAAATTGAGTAAACTTTTAAAATCGATTACTTGAAATTTAAAAGGGAGTAAACTTTTAAAGCAATTAATTGACTTTTAAAGCAAGTAAAACTGTTTTATAGTGAAAATTGACTTGTGAGTTAAAGCAATTAGTTGAATTTACTTCAGGTAAATTAACTCTTTTAAAGTGATTAGTTGAATATTCTTAAAAATTGAGTAAATGTGTTGTTTTAAATTGATTCGATGACTTCAATTTTAAAGTTTTAAAGCGGTGAGTTGACTTAACTTAAAGTGATTAAAGCGATTAGTTAACTTTACTTAAAAATTGAGGAAACTCTTTTAAAGCGATTAGTTCACTTTACTTAAAGTGAGTACTCTTTTAAAGCGATTAGTTGCCTCTATTTAAAGTGAGTAAACTATTTTAAAGCAATTAATTGCCTGTAACAGCAAGTAAACCTGTTTTATAGTGACTCATTGACTTGTAAGTTAAAGCAATTAGTTGACTTTACTTCATTACTGAAGTAAACTTTATTACTTTACTGAATTAACTCTTTTAAAGTGCTTAATTGACTTTACTTAAAGTGGGAAAACTCTTTTAAAGCTATTAGTTGACTTTACTTTAAAAATTGAGTGAACTCTTTTAAAAGCAATTACTTGAATTTTAAATGGGAGTAAACTTTTAAAGCAATTGATTTACTTTACAGCAAGTAAACCTGTTTTATAGTGATTAATTGACTTGTGAGTTAAAGAAATTAGCTGACTTTACTTCAGGTGAATGAACTCTTTTAAAGTGATTAGGTGACTTCACTTAAAGTGAGTCAGTTAACTCTTTAAAGCGATTAGGTGAATAATCTTAAAAAGTAAGTAAAGCAATTAGTTGACTTTACTTGAAAAAGCGAGTTCTTTTAAAGTGATTAGTTAAATTTACTTTTAAAAAGTGAGTAAACCTGTCAGTTTTAAATTTATTAGTTGACTTTACTTTAAAAAGTGAGCAAACCCCCTTTTTTTGCAATTGGTCAACTTTACTTTTCAAAGTTAATAAACTCTTTTAAAGTGCTTAGTTGACTTCACTTTTGAAAAAGTGAATAACCTCTTTTAATGCATTAAGTTGACTTTACCTAAAGTGAGAAAAATGATTTAAAATAGGTTGAATTTCCTTAAAGCAAGTGCACTTTTAAAAATTGATTAGTTGACTTAAGTTGAATAAACTCTTTTAAAGAGATTGGTTGACTACTTAAAGCGAGTATCTTTTTTAAAATGATTAGTTGATTTAAAGTGAGTGAAAATTGATTATATGACTATTTAAAGTGAATAGATTCTTTTAAAGCGATTAGTTGACTACATAAAGCAAGTAAACTCTTTAAAAGAGATTAGTTGACTTTACTAAAAGAGAATAGACTCTTTTAAAGTGATTAATTGATTACTTAAAGTGAGAAAACTTTTTAAAATCAACTAGTTGACTTTACTCAAATGGAGTGAGCTCTTTTAAAGCAACTAGTTGACTTTATATATTAAAAAGCAAGTAAAACCATTGCCTTACAATTAAGTAAATAAAATATATGCATAACTACAAAATAAATAAGTCAATCTAACTATTTCAAGTTACATTGGATTTACCCACTTTTTAAAGTAAAATCAATTTGTCTCTTTTATTTTATTTTTAGGCAACAGGTTTAAAAAAAAATTAAGTATAATAACTGATCCCTTTTTACAGTGCACAGTACAGTATGTTGTACGTATGTCGCATTTTTTTATTCATAGATCACCAAACTAATTTTTGAAATGGTATTTTTAATGATTTAACATGATCATTGATGTTATTGATTATAAATGTCATTGATATTTTAGAATTACCCAGACTTTGTTAAATCACAACATATGAAATAATACTGCAGTCATGCATATGCCAAATCATGTATTTATCATATTTATTATTTAAAAGTGGCTTCAGAGGTAAAATACTATTGATAATAAATGAATTGACTTCATGTGTATAATTTCAGGTAGCGTAAAAACAATGTTTTACTTAGAAATTGATAGTAAATTTGATTCAACGTTACAAAGAAATGGAAACTAGTGCGTTTGAATTAAACATGACATTGTAAAATTGAAACCGTGATATTAGTCCAGATTAGTTTATAATTCCTGGCTAAACAATGTTTTATTATGTCTATGGAGAAAATGCATGGGAATTTTACTTCTGAAGCCAATTGTTCAGCTCTATTATATCAGTTACAGTCACAATTATTAACATCTGCAATATTTTATATGATCTACTTCGCTTTGCAATCCAAATATATGTATGATTTATTGAGCAAATAATCAAAGAATCAGCACACATACTGTATCTGTACATTAAACAAAGACCATTTTCGTTTGTTATTCTTTAAGTTCCTCACTCATGTTCTGTATGACAGTCTGTTCATTTTTCATTTAAATTACTTTCATTCATTCTTCAGTCGGGTATTATATAATTTGCATATGCATTTTAAGACACTGTCATATTTTAAAAATGATAAATGCTCTAACGTATTAACAGAATTTACACTGCGAGCAACTCTATGAAGAATAATTCATGTAATATGACTAGCTTTTGATAAAGGAAATACTTGTTGTTTCTGGCCAAAAATGGTGTTTCAATAAACATTTTCAATTGAGATTCCTTCTGCCTGTTTTATAAACTTCTCGCACAAATGAACTGGTTTTCTATACACATTACAAATGACTTGTGTTTGGTAGATGTTAATATGCAGTTTAATTTTTTAATTTTTCAGTGTATGCCGCTGTTCACTGAAGGATGAATATTATTCAACCCATTAATTACGTACCTCTATATACGTTTCTGGAGAGCGCCAAATACGTCCCAGGGGCTACGTTTTTTTGTTGTTGTTCTTGCAGTTTTAGTTTTCGCAAATCCACCAAAGGCCGCTTTTTCAGATCTCAAATTTCTCTCTCAAGTGCCGCTCGCGCCTGCTTTTCTGACATAAATCCACCAGAGGTCGCTGTTGACTGACGGATCGACTGACCCACCCTCTTCGCTCCCTAAACCCAACCCATAGTGTTTTAAAAAGCATCGATTGACCAGTGCCCACTCCGGTCACTAAACCCAACCGACAGTATTTTCAAAAGCAGTCAAGAAAAATAAAAGCCCTCGCCATATTTTACCACCTTTTTAGATTTTACCACATTCTTACCCTGTTATTTACTTGTTTATTTAGTTTTTTGCCTTTTGTTTTTGTCTCGCCTGCCTTCTGGAACCATTCTTTGCCAGACTCGAACCCTGGTATCACTGTCAACTCAACTTTGTGTCTCAAGTCTGCCGAAATACGCAGCTAGCCACCGGACAAACTGGTAAAAAACAAGAAAGCCATCCATATGGAGGTAAGCGATCAGCTGGTAAGTGCGAAAAGCAACAGCATCATACCGCCTTGTAGCATTCGTTTTAAAGACGAAATGCAGCCATACATTTATCTGGCTACCTAATATGCGACCTCCAGAAATGTATATAGGGCTACATTTTCAGATTTTTTGCTTCTGTTCCTTTTTTGTTTTGGTTCATTTTTGTTACTAACAGGTTGTTAAAATACATATTAATACTTAAAAAGTACAAATGTGTACTGCATAATACCTTAAAGGTATAAAAGTGAACTTTAAAAGTACAAACTTCTACCCTAAATGTCCATCTGTATGGTACAAAAGTGTACCCAATGACAGATTTTATACCTTAATTTTCTGTGTGTGTGTGTCTTTTTTGCAGACTAGTACAGAGTAAGCATCTAAAATATGCTTTTAAGTGTTGATTTTATTGCACTTCATCTATTTGTCTCTTGATTTGCTTAATAATACAAAGCCATTTTCTCAAAAACATTTTTTCTCCACTTTCATATACTAAACTTTTATTCTAGAGGTTTTTACTGAGAAGGTTAATCATTTATCCTCATTTACATAACAT